TGTTGACCGATCCGAACTCCTTCTCGTGCGCGCGGGTCAGGATCTCCTTGTACAGGCACTCCGCGTCCTTGAACTTCCCCTGCTTCAGGTAGCAGGTGGCCTGGCGGGACGGGAGGAGACGGGGAGGCGGGTGAGTCGGGGGGCGCGGACAGGCGCGGGGTGTGTGTGTGCGTGTGTGTGTGAGTGTGCGTGTGTGCGTGCGTGCGTGCGTGTGCGCGTGTGTGTGCGCGTGTGTGTGTGTGTGCGTGCGTGCGTGTGCGCGTGTGTGTCTGTGTGTGTGTGTGCGCGTGTGTGCGTGTGTGCGCGCTCACCAGGTTGTTCTTGGTCTTGGCCACGTTGGGGTCGTCGGCGCCCAGCTTGGCCTGGTAGATCTCCAGGGCGCGCTGGTAGTAGTACTCCACCTCCTGGTACTTGCCCTGGTTCTGGCACAGCAGCGCCAGGTTGTTCAGCTGCTTGGCCACGTCCGGGTGGTACTTCCCCAGGACCTGCGGGACACAGGCAGGATCTCTTATGGGATTCCCCCCCCCCCGCAGAAGCCTGGCACCCCAAAATCCCCGCTTCCCCCTCCCTGCCCCCTCTCCAGGGCCGGCGCTGAGGAGACGAAGGTGATGTACATCCCCCCCCCCACCACCACCACCGCTCTCATCCTGACCCGATCTTTTCAGGGTCAGCCTGCCAACACACTGTCCCCCGGGTCCGGCCCGGCCCCCCGCGGGCCACACTGTCTCCCGGTCCGGCCCGGCCCCCCGCGGGCCACACTGTCTCCCGGTCCGGTCCGGCCCGACCCCCGCGGGCCACACTGTCTCCCGGGTCCGGCCCGGCCCCCTCAACCCACACTGTCCCCCAGGTCCGGTCCGGCCCAGCCCCCGCGGGCCACACTGTCTCCCAGGTCCGGCCCGGCCCCCGCAGGCCACACTGTCCCCCGGGTCCGGCCCGGCCCGGCCTCCTTAACCCACACTGTCCCCCGGTCCGGCCCGGCCCAGCCCGGCCCCCTCAACCCACACTGTCCCCCAGGTCCGGCCCGGCCCCCGCGGGCCTCGCTGGCTCCAGTACCTTCTCGCGGATCTCCAGCGCCCTCTTGCACAGCGGCTCGGCCTCGCGGTACTTGCCCCGCTTGCCGTACAGCACCGCCAGGTTGTTGAGGGTGGCCGCCACGGCGGGGTGGTCCTTGCCCAGCGTCTTCTCCCGGATGGCCAGCGCGTCGTTCAGCAGGTGGGCCGCCTCCTTGTACTTGTTCTGGTCCCTGCAACGCCAGCACAGGCGCCCCCGTTACCGTCACTGTAGGGGGTCCCCCGGCCCTGCTCTCGGGGAGCCCCAGTCTCTTTACACTGAGGGGTCCCCAGCCCTGCTTTTGGGGAGCCCCAGTCTCTTTACACTGAGGGGTCTCCGGCCCTGCTTTAGGGGAGCCCCAGTCTCTTTACACTGTGGGGTCCCCGGCCCTGCTTTTGGGGAGCCCCAGTCTCTTTACACTGTGGGGTCCCCGGCCCTGCTTTTGGGGAGCCCCAGTCTCTTTACACTGTGGGGTCTCTGGCCCTGCTCTTGGGGAGAACCAGTTTCTTTACACTGGGAGGGGTCTCTGGCCCTGCTCCTGGGGATCCCCATTTTCCTTAAATTGGGGGTACGGGAGGTTTTCAAGGTCACTCTTATATCCCCAATTTCTAAAGGCCGGTTTTGTTCAACGGATTTAGAGATCATCTGGGACTAAGCTTAATTGCAGGGTACAGCTGTGCCTCACTCAGGACTTGAACCCGCAACCCCCCACCCTCCCGTCCCGAGCTCCGACCTGCACACCAGGGCCAGGGTGTTGAGCTGTGGGGCGGGGGGCTCTCACCTGCACACCAGGGCC